TAGGGTCAATTTTTAAGACATGAGTGCCTTCTCACGTAGGCGTGCCCAATTATGATGATTAAGAGATATCAGCAATAATGAACTTTATACAAACTAGCAGCCTTACATGAGATCACCACTTATTTATGTGTCAACCTAGATCGATGGATTTCAGCATAACAGTACCTTGTGATTTTGCATGCATGCACCTTTTCCAATATTCGCCTAGCTCATAAGTACCGATGATGGCCTGACAATAAGGAGTGGTAAACAATACCAGTGACCCATTCGTGTATACACCAAATCATTCAGCTCAGCAGGTGCAACAGGTGGGTGTGTAGGAAGTATTCGTAGGTGATAAAGCACCATACTGGTGTAAAAAGTAAAAAAACACATATTATATATTGGGCATATCAATGGAACAGAAACATCCGACTAATCACCAACAATTAAAATAGTTCTGGATCAATAAAAAGGCTTTGAAGATCAAGTTAAAGTTGAAAGGAGACACGATAATAATAATAGTATGATTTTGTTAGTCCAGGAAACTGGAGGTCCTAATTCATTCCTACAACGTCGTGAGGGCAGAAAATTTTAAAGTACTTTTAGCTTTGCTAACCAATATAAAAAAATTAATACTACTGAAATAGAAGTTGGATTTCTAAAAGATAATAGGACAGGAGGGAGAAGAGAGTCAAGCCATTTCACCTCTTAAGTCAGAAGAGAACAAAACGAAATTTCTCCGAATATGCGCATTTGTGCTATTAGCTCTAAATCCAGAAAAACGAGAACTCTAAACTCTCTCTCTCTCCCTCTCTCAAATGGGTAGGATCATTGGTTAAGGTAACCAGAATACGATATCAGTTACTATTTAGTGATACGTGTGAAATACTAGCCAAGAAAGGTACAGTGAGAAGTAAGGGGAGAGCTTTATTCTACTAATTTTAGACCCTACAATTTTCCGCCCACAAATGAGAGATATGATACAAGTTCTGTGGGTGGTAAGATAGAATTTACTCAAGACTCAACACCAACAAGCTACCTAACTTTTGCCTATTCTTTAGAACGATATGCTGTTTCAATTGCTCAATTAAGTAAGCATCAGGCAAAAAGTGAAGAATATAAGCGAATGGAGGGCATTATTCGTTTGTAATCACCAAATAAAATAGTTGTCAATTTCTAATACACGAATCAACAAACACCAGTCGAATATTTTTCTATATTTTGGTACCTAATATTTACCAGATGACACGAATCAAGAAACTAGAAATGGGAAACATATAAATAAATGAACCCAATTGGTAGAAAAAACTAAAATTATTAATTCCCTTCTAATGGCAGCACCTAAATGCCAACAAAAATTTAGAATTAAGAAGAATAGAGAGGCATGTTAGAGAAGCAGATCAGGGTAATGTGCTTGTCGTTAATAAATGGGTCGATAAATTAATTCTATACGACCAAAAGGGCAATTACATCAGTATAACCGGGAGCGTGGAAGTATTTCAGAGTCATTTTATAACCCTGCCACCGATTATTTCAATATGTAGCTTGATACCTATTTACCATCGGATTGCCATCTACCTAGAATGATGTAATTAGCAAAATGAAATTAAAATAATATTATTGCGCAACAGACACGCAGAAGTGCAACCAATCTTACATGCAACACCCGAAGACTTTTAAAGAGTTTAGGTATTCAAAAAATGTATGGCAAATAAATCATCAGAAACGAGAGAAAACTCCACATTTAGCACGCAGCCCAAGGCAAAAAGAATTCAAGAAGTTGTGTGGTACTGCATTTACTCTTAAAGTAAGGTACGGAAAGAGCTGATGAATTAGCATAAAAAATAACCTTGTGTCCACTGCTCTAATTAAGCAAACAAGTGATACGAAAAGGACAACGAAAAATTGCATTGGATAACTGCCAAATGAGAACGTTATGGAAGCGACAAGAGCATTGAAACCGTCTAAGGCTATTACAATATCCATTAAATACAAGTAAACACAAGAAATAAAAACGTAAACATAATAAAACTTCGAATAACTATAAATAAATTTAGATCATAACTAATCAATCATAAAAAAATAACAACTCACTTCAAAAAGAAGGTTTTGATGCATGGACAAACAAGCCAGGGCCGCCAAAAGCCAACAGTTCCCTTAATATAGAAAAAATTAAAATAAATAATAAAAGTAATAATTACCCAATTCTCCTTGACGAATATCAAATCGACTGAGTCCATCGGCAATAAATTGGGGATCGTTAACGAGTTCCTATAATGAAGGCAAATGCACTTTAAAATAAAGTGGTTAGTGTATTATTACAATAAATTAGAGAAAGAATAATGTAAATCAAATACAAAAAGCTACCAATTTACTTTGAATCGTGATATCAAATGAATATAGCAATGGCATTCCACTCGATTATAATAAATTCAAAGCATTTCAACATACGTAAGGCCTTCGCCATTTATATCTAGACGAATTTGAATTTCGATCCGGCCAGATTGTAGAATCCACTGGAGGCATAAACGGGTCCTCGTAAAGACCACCCCTTTTCATCTGAGCTTCGACTTCACGCTGAAACCATTTCCTGCTGTGCTCCAATGATTCAGAGATAAAAAATCGCCGAGTGTAAACGACTGACTCCTCTTCTTTTTGGCGAATTTGCCTTCGAACAGAAGCGGCAATTGATTTGTGGTATGTCGGTTCTGTGTGCTCATTCGTTAATGGTTCTAATGTGTAAGTAGTTTGAGGCGGACGACTCGGAGCTTTACGTGCTGTCCTGGGTGCCCCTGTTTCTTCTGTAATTTCTGGGATATTAAACCCTATTATAGGCATTTCTTTAGGTAACTATAACCCTGTGAGAATTTCCCTCAAAATAGCTTTTCTAATCTAGCTCTGGTTTAAGTATGACAATCTGCTGCTCCATATGATTTCAAGGCCAAGTAAAATTATGTGATTTATTTAAACGAACATCTTCATCATTGGCATAGTTTAAATAATCACCTATTTCATTTAAATTTATAAATAATCAATTAGCCTTGATTTTCATCAAGCATGGAGATTTATTATAATCTAGATAATTTTTCATTATTTTATCGCCTTGCGTAAGACATTTTCTACTCGAATTATTATTTCAAATGGCAGGCTTTATGATATTTATCATTAGCCCTTAATCTTTGACTTCAACTTCCCCCAAGAGGGGGGGGGGTACATTTGTAGCAGTTAATTAATAGCAATTCATTAGCTGTCTTCTTGCTTCCCAGTATCTTTGGCTTTCCGTACTTGTCTTTAGAGCTGGACACCGAATCAGGTGGGTCTTCTCCATTTCCCCCTGTAGGTTACATAGAGGTTACTCGAATTATGAAAATGCATCTGCTGATGAGCCGCTCTTAGAATATTTTCAACCTTGCTTCAAATTTAACGCATTTTAAAAACTGTTTATAAGAACAGCTTTATTTTGAACTATTTGTAGGATTTGTAGTAGCAAAAACATAATCACTGAACAAATCTGTATAAATGGCCCCTCTTCGTTTTTTTCCTTTTCCACACTGGTTCAATTTCCACTTTCTAAGAGTACGATCTATTGGCCGATGTGCTAAGGAATTTCCGTTAAGAGCCACTTCAGCACCAGGCAAAATTAGTTTGAAAATTGTTCCTCTTTTGGGAACAAGCTTTACTTGTGAAGTATTGCCGTCCCCTTCTGTAGCGAAATAAAAGACATTCCGAGTCTCCATTGTAACAGTTCCCTCCAAATTGACCTAGAATGTCAGCAAACCGATAATATTAGCTACTCACAGGAATAGGTTAAAATAACGTAAAGACCTACTTGTTTAGTAGTGATTGATTTGAGAACTTGCATATGAGCACCAATCAAATCCATTCGTAAAACATTCTCTAAACGACTCGAAATATTTGTTTCGTCATTTACCCCCTTCCAATCTACTATGGATTTTGCATACGTATTCCAAAGATCATTCAGTCGTCGAGGCAAGTCAGAAGGACATGTCATTTCTGCCAAATTCAAATTCTGTTGACGCCTAATCAAACGCTTAATTTCCTTGGTACTGAGTCTCTTGTAACGAGGCAAAAGTTTTGCTTTCTTATTGTTTTTCTTTGCTGATTTGGTATTTTCATCTCTCGGTTGGGGACCCAAACCGACGAAATTCGCAGCACCGACTTCATTCAAAGTGATAAGGGCTTGGCTGCGATTCTCCGGCAAAATTCGCAACTTTACAAACTCCGAGGCGTATGTTGAATCCATTCTAAAATGCAAATATAGGTTGATTAATAGTAAGCCAACCCCCCCCCCCCCTAATTAAATACTACCATCATTTTGCAGGATTTAATAAAATATTCTTTTAAATATATCAAATTATGAACAATTGCAAGATGATTTCAACGAAATTATACATAGGGCAAACGAGTTGATGAAATTTACCAAAAACTTACTCAAATGAAACAAATAAAAAAAATCATTGAATTGTTTTAACATTTAACCTAACGTCGTAAGCAAAAAAATAGTAAAAGGCAGATTGAGATATGGAAATCGAATGATTGGTGTGCTACTAATGGCGAGTGACGGGAACGTGATTGGGGGTAGATAAAAGGATGGAAGAATCTCAATTGACGGCTTCAAATTTAGACACCGCGAAATCTCATGTAATCACGGTGGTATAAGTTGGCGTGTCAAACACACTGATCTATCGTGAGGACACAACTGAGCACATGTATGACGCTTGATGCTCCAAACAACGTCCCTCTGCTTTGTGGGACCTTCTAGAAAATAACCTTCTTCTTCAATGATTGTACGCATGCAGTAAAGAGAGTGGAGCAGGGTATATCTGGGGGTTCGGTTTTACATCTAAGGAGCAACTACTAGGGTAAACGAGGGGGCCATAGCAACGAAGAGGGCTTTTATTAAACCGTGAGTTGAGCAAAGTTACAACTGGCATCATTTGCTACTTTACTTTTTTCAGTAATTAGATAGCAGTGTGAAATGTAAACTAAATAGTTAAGAAAATATGAAATTTAATATTTAAAGTGAACTTTAGCCAAGAAAAATCATACGTGTAGGTGTCCCCGATTAACCATCCATACCATAACTCCAAAGAAATTAAAACGACAAAAATGACTTAAAATCAATAGCACTTCTTATTAGTCGGGTGCATAACATTAAGATCGAGATTGAGATCAAGTCTACGAGATAAGAGGTTTCTCTTCATAAATTAAAAAAACACATCCTCGAAAATATTTAGAAATTCTTTTCTAACTTTGCTAACTAGCCTCAAAAAATATTGCAAAGAGATTAGCAATGGCCCTAGTATTGGTTGTATAATTCTGATGACTGATAATTAATTACCCTCAAAGAAGTTAAACAAGGAGGCGAAAAATACTTTCGAGTTTATGAGAGCATGACCTCCTTATTGGAAGGGATAATAGGCGGAAAGAAGCGCTTAATGGATTTCAATTGGTAACCATTCATTCACTCATCGCCAAAAAACTACAAATGATCATACCGATGAGGACCTGTTTAAATTACAAGTAAATTCGTACAAAAAAGAGGCAGAAATGCGGAACTAAGTGTTAGAAGCATTTCAAGCTCTAGCTTATAAATAGCTTTAAACAGATAAATTTTAATAGAATAATTACATAAAAAATATTTCGAGATAGTTGAAGTTATTCATGCTGAAATTCATTAGGAATTGGCTGGCCAACTATACCCAAGTCTTGCTTAATATTATTTGCCTAAAATGCAATAACTCAAGACCATAGAATGCAATTTTGAAGGGACAGGAAATGCATACCACCTCTCATAAAATTGAAAAAATGCCATAAACTCATTCATAGTAAGGCAAGAATTAAACCCCAATGGCATATTGATGCAAAGAAACAGCAAACATCCCATTCGTTGCCTTTAACTGAAAGTTAAAATAACTGGAAAAAAAGAATTATGAGAATGGAGAGGAACATTTCAAGAATTATGATGATTTCGTCAAAAAAACAAGAAAAAATAGCACTTAGAGGAGGTATAAATCCTCCAAAACAGCCATTCTCAGATATTATTACCCAGTTTCTTGGATTATTCCCAATATCTAATGGAAATTTACACGCTTTACCACCTAACAGTTGTTAAAATTAGTAGATCATAGAGCCCAATTAAAGCAGGCATACAACCAAGCAGTCCGCGTGAGGTTGCGTGTGTGTATGACCTTGAAACGATCAATCGATGGGATACAGTAGCACCCATGCTCCTGCGCGCTCGCGCACACGCACACACAATTTCGCGCCTAATGATCCTCTGTAAGAGGGCAAATAATACGTAAAATCCCACCACCAACACCACTGGGGTTAGGTTTTAATTTCAGAGAGGAGATAAGATCAGGTAAGCATTGGAAATGAATCACTCTATAACACTTTGGAAACTGAAACGTTGACGAAATAAACAGCGTCGTAAATAAAGAGTAGTAATCGTAGAAATGCATCAGTTTTTAACCCCAAAAGCACGTGATTAAAAGCAAGAAAATAGAAAAAAATGAATGGATATCACAATAATTGCAATCACAGAAAAAGTAAGCCAAATTGATATTAAAGTCCGTTTTCTGTGTATCAATCAAGTTGATCGTTACAAACAACTAGATATGGTTCAATGAGTCATAACCTAGAAAAAAGCGTTACCATTAGAGGCCCGTTAAGGCAGGAAAGGACACCTCAAGCAAAAGTAAGCAGAAAGACTGCAGATCTACCAGTGTATGTGGGGAAAAAAGCAAAAAAACAACTCTCACGACAATAGTAGATTTAATCGCAGTCGAAATGATTAACGAGATCAGCTTAATCGATAAGTAGGGTCTATTCAGCTCAAAAGGGGATGGAAAATACCTAAAATATATTAGTTTATTATCAAATAAACACTAAGCAATGAATTAACGTGAGCTTGCGGATAGAGGACACACTGAGAAACATACCAGCAGAACAGTCAAACCTTTTACAAAATATATCAGTGCCAAGGAGTTTCTGTTCCACCTTGTTTGGGATTATCTGAGCAGACACTAAATCAAAAGTTACTCTCCTACCTCGTCGACTAAGCAAGCAGACGTGGCTACGCAGAGCTAGAGAATTTGAATCAAACGAGACAGGAAGAGTAGACAGTTTGAAGTTACTGAACCCTAACAGTCAAACCAAAACAAAGCAGCAGAATAAATGCAAGTAATCAGACTAAAAAAGGTTGCTATTTCTTAAAATAGTGAAATGGTTAGCTAATGAATAAGAACAGCGAGAACGTCAGATAATAAGGACAACTGTGGAGTTGTTTAAATTGCTAGTAAGAGGTCAGCATCAAAATGACTTTTTTGATTGACTGTTACCCACACAATCCAACACAAAATGCGAGAGCAAACAAACTGTGTGTGCGCCCCACTGAGAGAGAGGCCGATTAGAGCACATGACTCAGCTCCGCTCAACGCATGCGAGTGAGCAATAAGTGGAGAAAAATGAAGGGCTCATTAATGGCTCATTAATAGAGAGATGGAGTAGTTCCCCTCCTGTTACTCCACCTCAATTTACACGAACTACTTCCTTCACTTTGCGACTGTAAATGCCACAGCATACAACCCCCACCCTAACGCTACGAGAGTGTGTGCTTTGCCCTTGGTCGATTTCTATTTGTAAGTTAGTGAAGAGTTGTTTGCGGAAACAACTTGTGCCATTTACTTACGAAAAGGATAAATTAGGACAAATTAAACGATAACACGATTATGAGGTGAGGCATAACTACATTTCACCTTCGATTAGTAGATTATTACAGTAGCCTTTCCAAACAGAGAAGTGGTAAGTGCCAAAAGATGATAATTATGCTCCGAAATGAAATTGAATCGAGCTGCATCAGTTTGATTCGATTACATGTCAACATTTAATCTGTTAAATTTGTAGAACTCCTGATGCCTGTCTTTCTAAGTTAAATATATTTTTTTAATGAATGCTTGCAATATAACAAAAGATGCAACAAAGAAAGAGCTAACCACTAGTTAGTTCAACAAATTTACAGTAACCTCCCCAATCAACACCCCCTTAATATCCACTAATTCTACTCTGTCAAAAATTGGTTGATTCAACTCTAAATCAGCAGTCTATTATTATAAACAGCAAACAAGCAAGTAGTGGATTAGAGAAAATTAACAGTTACTCCAAAACTTTCCTCACCTCTTCCTCCTTATCTTTCACGTTTCTTTAATATTAATTTAAGGCAACAATTTACCGATCAAATGTACTTGAAAGTAATAGTGGTTATTAAGTAGGTAGTACAAGTAGCATTTACGCACAAAAAAAGACACGCAAATCAGCGATAATGATGGCCAGTGGCATTCCCAGGTTCAGGCTAATATGACGGATGGTAAAATGTGAGTTTCTCGTAAGATCAGTCATAACAACCAGCATTTATCCAAGCCAAGAGCGATGCCAACACTCGTAGGGCTGGCCTAGGGGCGTCCTATTGGAGGGACGTACGATCGTGGGCTGATTCGATAAAAGTGCGAATACAATTATTTAATAATTTTATGCCACTATTTCAAAATAATAATAGGAATTACATGCAATGTTTAGTCAAATATTGGTGGAATTTTTGATTTAGAAACAAAACTCGTTAATATGGACGCAAAGCTAGTTCCAAAGATATGAATAATATTTCAATATTACTTAATAAAATAATCAGATACGAAACCACTCTAGGGAAGGCATTTATATAATGTGCTGGAAACAAAAGCAGACAGGCAGAATTCCTCAAAACTAACCCAACCTCCAAAATATGTGCATTAGAAGCTTTCGGCTGACTGATTCGATTTCCGAAATAGGTGGAAGTCTAAGAGAGGGAGAAAACACGGCCATTCGCATAGCCGAAAAACGATAGAATTAGACATGCAGTAACCAGGGTAATAAAAGACATAAACTCAGTAAAAGTGGCCAACATGCAAGGATACTGAAGTACCCTGACTCTAATTGTGTTCGGATATTTGCATCACTCTTCCAGAATAGAAATGGTATCGAACATGCCACCAACTAAAATGTCTCCACATGCTCTACTTCTTAATACTCCCAATATATTTAAAAAAGAATGAAATCACAGCCGTGATCTATTAGGGTACAGAATTCAATCCAGGGTAGAATGAAACAAATATGAAGAAAATTGCGAAATTATGCAGATTCCAGCAGAAAAAAAAACAAAAAAACTGAACTTAATAAAGAACATTTGCCAGAGTAAAAATTCAACAAGGCCACAAATGGAGCATGAGCTCAAATAATGCTAGTAAATAAAAAGAAAGAAAGCCCACATACCTGTAAGATAATCCGAGAGAGGTTAGAGAAATCAAAAACCCTGAAAATAAAAAAAAAACACTCTCAGATTACTAAGCTGCTATTTACTTTTATTAGTCCAATGCCAACATCTACTTTATTCACCTCTCCACAAACCTCTTCCTAATGCCAACGTTAGTAACCGATAAATACAAAAAACGGAGACAATTTAGCTAAACAAGAACTAATGCCCACCTCTATAGGCATTGACAACTACATCTAACAAACGCTTTCACACGGCACATAGAAACTAAGTAAGACAACTTTTGGATTTGAATCAATATATTAATGGACACGTCACTATCATCAACAAAGTACTAGAATTGATATTATCATTGCTCACATTTGGCGAGCAATTAAAATACAAGGGAATTAAGGAGAAATTGAGGGGTAGGGGGGGGGGGAATTTGAAGAAGGGGAAGAAGAAGGAGTTGTAGAGAAGAGAGACGCGAAAGAAAGAGACAGGTCACTACACTAAGGGGGTTGAAGGATGAATCGATCTCGAGAGTCAAGATTATAGCCAAGATAAAGAGAGGAGGAAAGTAAACAAGAGAAAGTAGGTAGAGTTAAATCACTAGTCCATAATATCAGTTGTACGTGAGTGTGTGTGAGTGTGATTGAATTTGTGTAGTGACGCTTTGTTTTCTTAATTTTTTTAATGGAAGAAATGCATGTATGCAAAGAGGATATGCGAATGAGCTGAGAAAAAGGAAGATATTTTGTTTTCTGCACTTTTGTTCTGAGTGAATTAGACCTCCTTAGGCGCGGACGCTACAAAAAAGAAGGAAAAAGATTAACATACTTGTAGTTCTGTTTAATGAGGTGTGTTAGCTCAAAGGTTACTAAACAATGACATGATTTGTGAAATTGTGGTATAGCCAAGAGAAAATTGATCCCACGTTCTGAAACATACTGGAAGAGATGTTGAGTGCTTGCGCGGATTTAAGAGACCTTTATATGTCAATAGTGCATTTTTCAGTGTTGGGTTGTCGCGTCTCAATATCAGTTGTGAATACAATTCTGAGGAATGTTGTTTTCAATCGAAGAGTCTTTTGTTGAAGCGAATATATGAGATGGTTATCATTTGTTTTGTTAGATGAAAAGTTCACCACAAAACATGAATGTTGTTATCGGCTTGGCCATTGACACCATATGAAACGGTGTAAATACGGTTTGCTCACAGAAAAACAACGTGTTCACGAGACTGCTAAGAAAGTCATGGAAATCGCCCTGACGTCTAACCTTCCAACTAAAACCTCAAATGAACGTCATGACAGAACATATTGAAGGACTTACATATGCGAGTGTACAAGGCAAGGGTCATTATTGTGGAAATCACACCTAAAGACTTAAAAAAGTTTTCCAAAACATGTTGACACATGCTGAGTTGTGCATAGAACTTCACGACGCTTTTTACCAATTATTTGCCATCATGAGGTGGAATATATTCTCACTTAAAATCATAATGAGTTAAAGCCGCTAATGTTAGATTAAACAGTATATTCTCGCCTGTATTCAGAGACGGACATTTCTCATTTCTAAATCCTCAGGGCGAAATGTTTTGCGATTTTAATGAGGTCGAAACACATTGATTTGCAAAAAATATAACGCGCATACGAGAACCAGTAAAAACAAGTTTGGTGAATTTGTACTCGTGCAAAGATCACCGCACGCCAATCAAGACCTATAAAGATGCTATCAGTGTAAATGGAATCAATTTCAGACGCGCATTTTTTCCTCTATCAGGAAAACCAATACTGGTTTTTTATAAATACGAGATTTCACAATCTAAGAACTGAAAGAATTTCAATTGATTTGAAGGCACTTCAATACGCCATGGAGATTAGCATAGGGCACTAAATTGAGCATCAATTGAAACAAATCTTAAAAGCTAGCGAGTTCTTTCTTATGCGACAAAATTGGTCAAAAAGGGGAAAGGCCCCCCAATTCTTCACACCTCAAACAACTCTCCAATCCACTAAAGCACACAGGACGAAACAGGAAGAAGAAGTAAGCACAGCAGAGACCAGTTGATAACAATTGGTCAAATCCGTGAAGGAAAGCTGCCTTCTTATGAAGAGTCTTCCCAGCGAGCAAAATTAAGTGAAAGTAGGCAAAATAATCTCGAAAGCTAACAAATTCGAAATCAATTTCGTGCTAACATCAAACGCCATCTTAATAGAAGCATTGGAGAACAGTCCTTAACTTCATTGAGGGATAAAATTGGTAGAAGAGAATAAGCCTGAAGTCTTGCCTGTCAAATGTATGAATTATTGGTACTTGTAAACAAAAAAAACGGTGAGGAAATAAATGTAATAAGTTAAACAGTAATTTAAAACCAACTCAAATGTATTTAAAAAAGGTAGCTAATTAGTTCAAATGGCGATAAATGGGAGGCGAGGTTAGATGGGAGAGAGAACAATCGCTGAGAGATCGAGCGAGATGCAAAAAAACAAGAAGGCTAAAGTACCTTCATTTGTTGCTAAAACAATAAAAGGCTTTCATAAAATATCATTTATTAAAAACAATCAGAACTAAGCTTATGCCATGAAAGAAGATGGAAGAGAAGTGGCATCCACATCATTAATTGATTCATCATAAATGTAGCTTAACAAATTACCCCTGACAAGCACTGCCCAGTACTATGTGTCGACTAGGCAAAAAGGTTCCAGTTTAAATCACCAAAAGTGAGATAAAATCGCAAATGCCCATTAAAATAAGGCAGAAAAGAGTCATTTAAATGTAGACTCAATGCAAATTGTGCTCTTGATGACCTACCCTTGGTGCGACTTGGCGTCTCCGGAAGGTGAAACACTTGTAGAGAGAAGGGAGTCGTTTTGAGCGATGGCCTTCTTCTTGGCTGCCTTGTGGCGCTCATAGACGATGATGGTGATCAAGAGAATTATCAGCTCGGCTAGAATTCCAATGAATGGCCAGAGAGCGGCGAAGCGACCTTAAAGTAAATATGCAGTTGGTTGATTAAAGATGATTACTTCACGACTTCCATACTGCTAATATATTAATAAGAAAGTAGGTAATACCAGAGAAATTAAAATAGATCGCGTTTATGATAAATAATACAAAAGCGGTTACTTTGGCTTCACACAAACATAGACATTTGAATGCGTGTTTGCCATTTGTCGTCTTGAGAGCCAGAAATGCAGATTTTACCAAACGGCAAACGGTTCAAATAGAGAAAGGTCTGAACAATGGCAAAAGAAAATCATTTAAATAACTAGACTTTAATTAACCTTTTCAGGAAATTTAAGAAGCCCTCAAGTATATTAAGAATAGCCATAATTAAGATCATTACTAGTTAAGGCTATTTACTGCCACTGGTTCTCAACTAACAAAATAGTACATTGGCACCCCTTGTTCAGCATTAAGCAATTCAGGTTACCCTTCCAATTACTGGATGCGACTAATGAACAGCGCATCAGCTCAGTCAACATTGCCAACGTCGGTAATACTGTTTTATTATTACGCAAATTTTAAAACTATCACAATGAACCAGAAACCTCATAACATTGACATTTGATTCGCAAATCAGGGAAAGTGGAGATAACAACAACTACCGCTTCCCAGATATCAGAAATTTAGAACAAAACAGGTTCGATTGCAGATAATCATACCAATTATTCAGAAACAAGGAAAAAAAGTTCTACCCCCTCAAGTGCAGAAAGCATTTAAGGCGATCAGGCCAGCTCAGGTATGCAAATATGCTTTTGAAGAGTTTCCTTTCAGTACATGACCTCGGTTTGTCCGTGCGAGAGTGTAGCGTTGTGTGTTCACATTTACCATTGATGAGAACTATTGCCTCACCGATACAACTAACAATTTGTAGACTGATTAATCAAATTCAACTCAAATTAACCAAAAACCATAAACGGTTAGGCTTGCCCAAAACTCTAATAAAGAAGAGTAAGCCTTCTGAAATTTCACCTAAGACAAAAAACCGACGGAAATGGCAAGTAAGTCCACCATGTTTTGGACAACGATTTTCACAGCAATTCAAGGAACGAGTCCCGGAAATTCGAGTTTCATGAGACGAATTAACCATAGCGTAAATAAGGCACAACTCGAATCCAGAAAATCGAATATAGGAATGTTTTTTTGATGCCATAAATTTGTTTGCATCTTTTTCCACCGTTATCTTTGAAACTTTGCAAAAGAGAGGGGGGGGGGGTATTTGATTCAGAATACCACACGCGATCGAAACCTACTGATCCAAATTCAATGAAACCAATAATTAGAAACGGTAAAAACTGCCTTTCAATTCCGCATAAAATTGATTCCATTATGGTAAACTACACAAATGCTACACAAGTGTTAGACTTCAATGATGCGAGGTAGCATTAAATACTGTTGACAAAACTGCTTTAGAAGCCAATTCAATTGAATTAAGCAGTCGAATGAAAATCACAGTAGTGAGAACATTTAAAAACCACAACGACCACAATGGAACAAGCCGACGCGTGCAAAAATTGCAAAAAAATAGCGTTCACACAGGCTCCAGCGTGTATTGACCTCACGAAACATGTACCTCAGGACGAAACTGCTGCGCGAATTTGTGTGTGTTTGGAGAAACCCTCGCAGTGGAGCAGAGCAGAGCAGAGGAGAGAACACGAGAGCGCGTAGTACGTGAGTGAAAAAGAACGCTACCAGTGGTAGGCAAGCAGAGAGAGAAAGACCGCACCGCGCATTTTTTATGAGCAGAAGTAAATGATTCATATACACACGTGTGCGTGAGAGACATCATAAAAGCGGCAATAAAGAGAGAAGAACCGATTTGGAATCCTGCTTAACAAAGTGACATACCTCTCCCATGTACAGAAAGACCCGAAAGAGCAACGTGCTTTCTACTACAACTGACACATTTACGTCACATAACAAACAAAACACTGGGCTGTAGGATTCTGGTTTACTAGCATATTTACATGGATATTCCCAATTTTGTAAGGCTTCAAAAATACATTTGAGGGTCAAACATCAAAACCAAGACAATGGTCATGGCATTGTGGAAATGAAAAAAAACTAGTTTGGCATTAATAAATGAAACTCGATCGGCCGAAAAGCACTATAAAAGAAGTCGCATTTAGATTCAGAGATAAAGGGACATTGAGTCACAAGGAATTTAGAGACAATCTGTGGGATTTCAAGCTCACGAAGCCTAATTTTGTTGAGAAAATTTACAATATCTAAGAAATTTGAATATCTTTACAAAGAAGGCACTGGCTATCTTAGCATCACGTTTCCTGACACCGCAAACTGAACGAGATAAATAACGGTAAGTGCAAACGAAACTAAATTCAAATAAATAAAGTTATAAAAATAATTGGGAAAAACAACACTCTAGATCCTGCAACAATTGGGGAAATGGGGAAGATGAAATTGAACTCTAACAAAAACGACCAATCCAAATGGCAGAAAACTGCGCGACTAATACACCTCTGGTTCTAAAGTTCTCAGTAGTTGTACAACTCGGGTAATATCGAATGACCTAAACGATAGATCAGAATTGTGGTGGGATGACGATTGATACATTTGAAATGAGTGGATGAGTAAAAATAAAAGGACAATAAGCTGCAAAGAATGAACTTCCACGTAGTCCACGATGAGAAATCCCAAGACAGGAACGACAGATGCACTTGCAGAAAATCGATACAAACCACAAGTGTGTAAATGAGTATTCAAATGCATTTCGAGATGTTTTTGAAAACTATTTATTCACGAATTAGATAGTGATTGTGACCATTTTCGAATAGTGATTGTGACCAGAAAAAATCCTTCTAGAGATTAACACGATCGATTTTCCAAATTTGCAATTCAACCATTACAGGTAGTGAAGTAATCAAGGGAACTATTTTTGACGATTCTCATACTAATTCACAAGAGGCACAGTTGTAAATAACGATTTTCCCCGAAAGCATTAGTAATCTAACTAATCTCAAGATTAAGGCATTACTTCAAGAGGCTATAAACGATAAATTCGTGATACACCATAACAGAACAGCACCAATCATAGGCGTCCTTTTACATGGGTCTTGAACCTTATTTACCGTTAGTTATTATAAAATTAAGGGGCTATTGAGAAAGCAAACACAATTTTACCTTAGGGATGTAAATTTCTTTCCCTTTCTTAGAAAATTTGTTGCCATCTAAAGAAATTTCATTTCAAGAAACCTGTTCAGATGCTTCATAGACATCAGAACAGAATGCCTCACCATTAAAAGATATTCATTTCCTCCTGTTGACTACTCTTTTCCATCTTCGACACAAGCATACAAATTAATCATCTTTAAAGTGGATTCGCTACTTAATAGTAGTTACTAAAGTGTGCACCACACTAGGGCAGCAAGAGTAAAGGGCATCGAATACGCTATGAAAAGATGAACAGATTGAGTAGAATACGCGCACACAATAAATCCGAAGTTGACGGGGGCTGATGTTGCTTTTGCTATTGCTAAAAATAACCTCAGCCAATCAACGAAGCATTGCGGGTTGAGAGGGAGAGAGAGAAGGGACAAAAATACTACTGTTGTTGGTACTCACTCTTGATTTTCACTTCCGCAACAGAGGAATCGAAGAGCCCACCTCCGCCCGTGGTGTTGCAGATGTAGGAACCTGTGTCGCTCATTTTCACCTCCGTGAAGACAAGAGTATCACCCTCGATATGTGTTTTTTCAGTGTTCTGAAAAAAGAAATCATTTTAATCCATGACTAGAAAATTCTAGCAATTACTGAAGTGCTGTATAGGTAATGAGTATCAATTTCTCAGTAACCGCCAATTAATTAATAAGTTGAGTTCTCATACTTGTTGCCCATTCCTTCGAATGACTGATAGAACTTTCAACGTAATTGTATTATTAGATTAAAAAGCACCTATATTCTATTATAACTTTTAAGTCAAGGAAATAGACTCAACACTTATGTTGGTAACATGAAGTCCCCTCTGGATAAAAATTCGAATATTGATTCCATTTAATTATGCAGCATTAAACAATACGGTTGACTATTCTACCCATTGATAACGCTTCAAACTTGTGCCCACTAAATTCGCAAATCAGTAACAATCACTGCTGGTAAATATTTTAAACACCCAAATTTAGCCTCTAATGACAAAATCAAATTATATTGCCTAATTCGACAGGGTTATGCCACTAAGGTTAATTACAACATTTCCAGGGTGTGCGCCGATAACTAGGGTTTTACAGTGCACACGCTAATCCCTGTCACAAGCAAACTATTGTTACAAGCGATTAGATTCCTGTTAGAGCCCTTTTTTAGTTTTAAAAGAGAGACATTGCATACCTCTGCAGGAAACAGGGTCATTTGATCACCAGACCCATCAACTCGGAACCACAAGATTCGATCGGGATAGGGCATACTTGCACTCTTGCAGACCACCTTCATCTCGTAGCCTTCTGTTGAACGGAAGGATTCAATGAAACGTTGAACTAGAGGCGGTGCTAAAGAAGAGATAAAATTAAGGCTCAAACATGGGAATAAAATGAATATTTTTCATACTTATTGATAGGGAGAGGAAATGTGGTATTAACAGTAAAAATTATTTCCCAACAAGAAATTAAATTTCATACTAATCCTGTTAATAATTTTAATTAACTGCTTTAAGAACAAACTCTGGAAATAATTCATTCAGTTAAGCTAAATAAATAAACCTGAAAATGCAATGAAGAGAAAGAAATTTGAAAAGGTATGTAAGACGTAAAACTATTTTAGATGAAAGCAGATCTGGAGACAAATTATATGAAGTCAATATTATTACTAACATAGAATGAGCCATCGGAAAGGTAATACAATTTCAGTTCTTTAGTATTTAGAAAGAAATTGGGATTATAGAAGAAATATGTAGTGGAAGCCTGGAAAATCAGAAGAAAAACAAAAACGATTCAAAGAAACAAATAGAGTTTGTGCATGGTGGAGAAATCCAGACAAACATTTCTGCAAAATATTTCGTGAAAAAAGGATAAATGAATGATTAGCGGGAAAGAAGACCTTAATATTATCTCCTGGATGCCTAGGGGAGAGATCATACTGCATTGGTAGGCAACACGGAAACGATAAGGTCGCTTTGGTTGACTGACGAAAATTTAACGACAGATAAAATTTCCAGCATCAAGTTATAATATGTGGGATTTCCGGACCAAAATGGGAACAAATTATTTAAAAACCATAAATTTAACTTTCCTGTACAACGTGCCACAAGTCTGTTGGAATAAGGAGAGGCATATTTATAAGCACTCATTCATTTTAACAAATAGGCAAATGGATAAAATCTAGAGCTCCACGACATTTCGACAAAAAGGTAGACTTAGTTATGTGACGGTAAATAGATTTATTGGCTACTCCAAGCAAACTATCAGAGCTGTAACTATAAAACGAAAGGAAATTTCGATAGAGAGAATAATAACATTAAATCCTAACATTGTTCACGCTATTTCAAGGTGCGTTTCTAGAAGGTTAACAATTATTTGCTTTCAGTGCTCTTTAAATCTTATGGATATATTAAAAATATAAAGCAGAACCAAAAGGAATATTGAGACGTAAATAGTCTTGGCAAGAATAACATAAAAAGGATAGACGAAAATAAAAAAATTCCAACATTTTGTGCAGCAATTGGAACAATAAGATTATAAGAATATAAATAGTGTTAGCTTACATTGCAGCTCGCATGAATCGGTTGAAACTTCGCCATCATTATCCTTAATAATGACCTTCCATGTACCAATGTACTGCAATTCTAAAAGAGGCAAGAAATGAGATGATGTGAATTTCAAGAACCAAAAAATAAGGAACTAACTCACTAGGTACACGAATAACTAAAACAATGTTAGTGGGTTCCCGGATCCAATAAAGTGCAGATCTTACTTCATCTTGATCCACTTCAAAGGGACGATCATTAAGTCTCCAGTCCAAATCTTTGATTTGAATTTCATTTTTTAATGGAAAATTGATCCTAATTGGAACATCCGCATCGACAGCTAACTTTGAGTAATAGACGCCACTCTTTTCCATCATTACAGGTTTAACTTTGATTTTATCTTGGCATATTCTGGCTTGTGGATCTATGAGATAAGAATTAAATCTAATAAAAAAGGACTATAACGATTTTAAATGGGTAGGATTGCGAGAGTATGAGAACTACATATTACCAAAATCATATAAAATTAACTAAGAATGTACTATACCTTGAGCTAAAATAAATGGAAGGAAAAGCGTTAAAAACACAGCGGAGACCATCCTGTCAAAAAGCTGCACGGAGCAAAGTGCAGTAAAAGGCACAATACAATGACTAATATACATAGATTTTATAACTTCAGCAATCAAAGACCTTTACTACAAAGAGGGAACTTAAATTAATTAAATGTGATCACTTGAGTTTTTTGTGATCAGGAAATAGTATTACTAATTACATATTTAGAGACATAATTTGACAAGTAATGATTTTAGGGAGTCGGTAAAATAAACTAAATTATACAAAAGGCTATTTTAAATTACATTATTAATCATTAAAATTCTTTAGGTCCTAATCATTTATAAATTAAGTGTTAATGTGTGATCGAGTTTGAATGTATTTGCCCTATACATTGCAAGAAATGTGTGCATCATTGAAACTTGTTATTTTATACAAATTTAATTCCGTTGAAACTTTATGCTTGTTTTAGTTTAACCAGAATTTATGAACTTTTACAACTTCAATCATTAACATTTTATCCGAAATTCTCAAAGACATTTACTATCAGCTGAAGCTGATCTGAAATTGTAATGAAATATCCGTCTTAAGAAATAAAGTTTTAAATATGAAATTTTAAAAGTGTACTCGTTTGTTCTATTCATATATATTTATAATTAGTTATTCATGCATAGTCCCCCTAATGGCATTTGCTGCTGAAAATTATTTGCCCTGAATGGACATCTTATATGCATATTTCAGAATCGCCCATTTCTTAACATTGAGGACTGTCAGGTGTCAAAGTACTTTTACTGCCCTTACGAATTAACGAATTAACGTGCACAAATATTGAACAATTCTCTAAACAATGCTCAAAACGTCACTGCTTCTGTCTCAAAATCATACATCGTCTTTATTGATATACCGTCGCACATTGAAATTTATTAAACGGGAGACTTCATGATAGTGATCATTGGCAATTTAGTTGAGCTCGGAATTCAAATAGGATGAAACATCAAAGTGACAACAGTTGAGGTTAGAAACTTATGAGAGTTTACCAGATGCTAAAGAGACAGACGCAAATATATGGTGAGTACTATGAAAGTGGGGCAATATGACATACAGGCAGATCTTGGTATTTTGTAGTAAACCGCCACATAGTTTTTTGTCGTACGAGCTTATTTTTCTGAGTGTTCAAGAAGTGGTGGTAAATCTATTGCGTACGTTAATAACCCTGAAAGAATGTGAAATTTTACTGCACATAATTAATATCACTCAAACATCATCAGCATCTTAAATGGAGAAATTTTTGGTTTGGGAATTTATTTTCGACATTGCTTGAGCGATAATGCACACATTGGGTAAAGTTTACTAAAATAAATTCATGAAAAATCACAATATATAAGAAATTGGTTTTAATTTTACGATTTTAAATCAAAGACAAAATTATTAGATACTTTGTTTAGCATGTTTCAATTCACCCTTGAGCTGGTTATGGGTTATTTGTCCAAACGTTCAAAGTTATCTATTTGTTCAACGTCGGGTTGGATTTCTAACTCAAGTACAAGATAAAATAAGTGTTATTTTTAGCAATGAAATGTGAAAATAAAATTTGTAAGTTGAAAACATTCGGATTCGGAATGTCTTAGAATGCAATTTAGCCCGTTATCTCATTATATTTATTAATTTAATATTAAAGTTGCATATGAATAATTGTGTTTCACATAAAGCTTTATTATTCGCAGTGGTAATCTTTGAAACAATAACATATTCACATTTGACAAATTTTTGCTTATATCATGTTGTATTTTACCTTTTATTGTCCAAATGTATCTTGTATTTCTAGTTTTTCTGCTTTTATCTGCTTTGGTTTATGTCGGGATCTGTGATCAACTTGTTGATGTCATCTGCCAGATTCACATTATCATATTATCAAACCAGTGAGTTCATATTTTCTCTATATATACCTTCATTTCATTTGATATTTCTAAAATATTATCTTCTTATTCGAGTACGCAGCGAATTAATTGAGTTTACTGTCTATTATGCCTTTATGCCTATTTGTGCTAGATATTCTGTTCTAATTCACTACCTTATATGTTAGTAATCAAAGCTCAACATAAGTTATTTTAATATTCTTTCAAAATGTTCCAATATTCAGGTGAAAATTACCTTCTTTTGTCATTAAGTAATTATGAAATTGATGGAATTTCAGAAACGTCTAGTTAGACACTGCTCCACTTAATTACCACGGTCTCGTTTGTCCTTTCCCTTAGTTCCACCTCGTTTAAAGCTCTTGGCAAATGTTTTACACTTTTATTCCCAAGGCCATTACTTGTCTTTAGCACTAATTATTTCGAAATTTATTTCTCTAAAGCCAAAAATCAATATGACCTTTTCTTTCATTCTCATCTTGTGTTAAGGTACAATTATTTTATACAGTTTTATTAGTTTTCAATGGCGTTAAATAAGGTTTAACTTGTACAGTTTGCTCCATAAATGAATGGTTTTGTAACTAATTGTCGCTATTTACTATAAGAACTGGACTCCCTTTCCATTGCTTTCGAAATATCTAGAATTGATTTTTCTTTAGTTTTTTTCTAAATCCTTGGTAAAGACTTCTTTGAAGGTTTAAATTTGTGCGTGATAGACTTTACCGCTTAAAGTTGGGCGATTAAAACACTTGGGTCTAACTCCTGACAATACGTGCGAGTTGTATTCAAGACAAACAGACATCGATAACATCGATGTCCTGTGACTATCCACTGTATCTCAGTCTTGTGGACATATGGCCGAATTCGTATTAACCTGCACACTTATGCGCAAATCGATGTCGTCACATCCATACAAACATTAGGGAATGAAGACTTGGAATCCAAATAAATAGAAGCCCACACTTGTCAGAGTAACGCAGCCTCGTAGACTTGCATCCCTTCCCCTATATCCCCTTCGCTTCACATGTATGAATCACACACATACAGCAGTAATGAGCTATGTCGTGAATCATCTTCATTTTTCTCCCAATTGGAACAGCACTGTCGTAGAGGGTCCATCTGCGAGGTTTTGATTTATGCCATCATGTAAATCCGCCTCTCTTTGAGCACCACAACCCTACTTTATTTGACTCAGCAGTTGTCCTTGGTAATATAAATAAAGTCCGTCTCTTAGCTTTGTTTGAAGTTAAGTCACTTTCTCAGCATCTGTTAATACAACAGGTAAAAAATCATTCGAGCGCTTATTTACCAATTACGATCCTGCTTCGCCTATTCCTGAACTTTTCTGTCTGCTAATGTGATTTGCTTCGCGAACTTTATCCAGTTTATTGCCTTTGTGACGGGGTTATGTTCACGATACATACTCCCAACTCTTAACTGCCTATCCACCTTTTTTATTGTCTGACTCCTATATTGTTACTTTTCCTTCCCGACTGCATCACTTAAATGTTTTCTGGCTTAAACTTTGACGCCTTCTCTCTCTCCAATTCCCACCGCGATCGTCTCCTTTCCCTCTTGTGGTGTCTGAGTCCGTACAGTTAGCTCACTATCTCTTTCTGATTTGCCTACTATTCGATGATCTAATCTCTCATGCTACCATCTCGAAATCATATGTTCGTAGTCCTTAAGCTTGAGCTGTTTAGTTTGTCTGCCTTTTTTGACTTTTCCATTCATTTTCTTACCCCGCCCCTTAATCAAGTAACTCAATTCCCAATTCTGTTGAATTAAATAGCCTTTTAGTTCATGATTATAATCGTTTATTTCTGCCAATATCTTGTTTAGAAGCTCATTTGTTGGTTTTTGGTTCTTATCGATACTATTTCTAAAATAATGGGCCTCTTTTAATTTTTTGCAAGTTCGGTATATCATTGACTTTACAACCGTTGCTCGATATTCGTTATGCTATTCTATTCTGAAAGAAGTACATCTATATCGACTCTCTATGGTATGTTTTATCTCAGGACATTTTTTCTAGGCGCCTCTCAACTATTGCTACTTATTCCATAAACAATTATTCTGCAAAAAAATAACAAACTACTGTTTATGTGAGTGGGCAAGAGTCCTCTCGCTAATATCAACTCTCTTTTTGCCTCCTGATTGGTCCTTTAAATTGGCCCAAGTTTGGGACAACCAGATATCTACCCAAGCACATCAATCAGCCCTTATCCCCCATTCCCCGCTATTTTAAATAAATTGTGCAAATAGTTGTTGCCTTAAATTGCGAATGTGTATAATTTAATTGAAGCAGAATAGGCTGAGACTTTAGGTCTAGCTAGATGATCGCATTAACTACTTCAAAGCGAATTTGACGCACTATTAGGCGTTTTCCGTTTTAGGAATCATATTGCTGTATCAATATATTTCCTACCACATGCGCGAAATATTTTTGGAAGAGGAGATGTAATAATTGCATAGTATGCTCCGGAATCCTATTCCTTCTAGAAGCTTAGATAAGTTAAGCAAGATTTTAAGAGGAGAAGCAGTGGTTAAAGGGATTGAAGAAATAGTCCGCACAAAGCCCGTCATTTGTTAAATGAAAGATTGCTTTTTTTCACCAACATTACATTTCCAAATTGACAGAGCACTTGTAAACATTTTTCTCTCAGCGATTAGAACCCTTTCGGTCATAAGTGAAACAGATCTCCCTTACAGACATCTCGGACTTTTCACAGACTCATTGTTATAATGCGCCAAGGCTGGAGAAAGGCAAAATGAAGCCCCATAAATAAATAGATTTCTAGTTATTGAACTAAAACAAATTTAAATTTGAACTCATATTACAACCGGCCTCAATGTTAGCGCCTTGGATACGGTATCTGTCAGCAATTTTACGTCGTGACTCCACCTAACTTGAACTTCCTTTTTACTTGATCGGTGTGAACGGCAAGAGATACTTATTACATGGGAATAAAGTGGGT